AGCATCTAAAAATATCCTTTAACTACCCTATGGCATGACGATCCCAGAGATAAGTAGGTCTGCGAGAGAGAGTATGCTTTGTTCTGTTCGAACACTCTATCATATGAGAGAAAGCGTGTCATTGAGAAGTATGTATATATATAGTTACGAGAGTGTTTCAATTTATCTCTAACTATAAGTGTCGAGAGCGACATGTCACAGATGTATACCCTTAAATAAAATTTGCTAGATCCAAGAGGATTGATATAACATCAAAATGTAGCTTCAATCATCGCGCGGAGAGCCACTCACTGTATTCCTCATTAAGTTTCTCTTGAATCTCTTGATCGCAGTATATGCTCTCTAATAAGTCGTTGCGATGGGTAATAGTATCTTCTCGTCCGGGAGATACAATTAAGAGAGTGAGTTCATTATAGTTTGGATGGCAGGTTCTGAGTCTATTCACGGATTTATTATTAGAACAAAGACTCATTATACCTCAATTGAGAAAAGGCCTCATCATTTAGCGACAATAATACCGATGACTTTTATCACGAGACCCCTCTATACACCTGTTAGAGAGAGCATACCCGGCCCTTGACGTCGAGGTATCGTTCTCAGGAATTTGAACTAATGAACATCATGACAATGTAGCTGAAGCTAAAGAGCTATCTTAGAGTGGAGAATTACACGCACATGCGGCATAAGGTACGGGAAAGACGCATTTGTGCGCACGGCTACGAAAGACGAAGCACATCATTTGCAGGCTTGGCCCACATCCAGAAGGGACGTCTAAGCCTTATCAAGTATTTAGTGTGTCTGTTGCGCATTACACTTGATTCTCTCATATCTCCCATGTCTCAGTATCCTAGCACTCTCTTAAATGTAGCCACACCTATCTCTTGTGTCGGTAAGGGTTGGGTTTGTGCTCTCGCCTATTCACGTGATTCGTCTAATCTTTACTTATTTCGAGAGTTTTAGGGCACCAGAGGCGCGCGCGGCGACCACCGCACCAATATGAGAGAGAGAGAAAACCCTAAATGGTGTTGCATACGAGAGAAACCTCCTACATCGCATGGATTTTAACGAAACATAGAGTCTTAGAGGCAGCAATTAAAGACAATTTTGGGAAGCTCGAGGCGCGGGGGCGGATGAGAACCATTCATGGTAGCCTTTTGGAGTGGAAGGCTGATACCTGTTCAATGCAGAGCACGGGAAAAGAGAAATGGTTTGCAAAATCTATCACGCGACTTCTCCGGAGGAATAACCTTGTGTCAGGCCGCAATTGCGCATACACTTTGAATCGATCTAATCCGGTATATAGACAAATAGATCTACTAGTTCAACAGGGTGGTTCTTCCTCCCACATCTGATTGAGAAGCATGAACATGGCTTTACCTAAGCCTTTTGACCTCAAGTGTGTGATTGTCCGGTCACAGTTCGTGTAGGGAGAGAATTGTCTTTCAAGGTGCAATTTGCTAACTGTAAACAGAGATTTCAGGTGGAGGGAGTAAAAGAAACATTATCTCCTCCTTTTCGACAGTTAGGAGGCACAAGAGCAATACAACGATATCCTACTGGTTCAAGTATCCGGACTTGTTCTGTAGTTTATCGTGAGGTCCATTTTTCGAGGACTAGAAGAATGGGTGCGGCGCAGAATAACTCGTGGGCTGGGATTTGGAATGGAGGAGAGTTGTAATCCCCCACCGAGTATACAGAGGTCGCCGGCGTTATTCTTTTTCATATCTTTTATCAATCTTCTCTCTTATGATGGGAGATGAATAATGTGCTCGATTTGGGTGCTGTAAACGGATTTGTCCCTTTTCCAGAATCTCTCCCTTATCTTCTCCTAACGGGTCGGGTCAGCCCACAATGGGAAGCGAACTCGGATCTGACCCATTTAACACATTCCCACGAACATCGGGAGGTCTCCCTTACTTCTTTTGAATGGGGGTATCGAAGGCATACAGCTTTATGCCCTTACCAGGGAGTTTTGTGACAATTGGGAAGATTCCAGACCAGTGCCACACGATGAAGAATCTGAGTGGGCAAGTCATCGGAGTTAGGACCGAAAGCTGCATTCCCTGAAGGCAGAATCCGAAAGATATGGAATGAGTGCAGGTACCTTGAGCCAAAGACTATATACATGACCGAGCCAGAGATGAGGTAGAATCCCAAATAACTTGGTCTGGTTTGGTAAAAGATTTCAAATTCCTGAGAGACCGCCAAAAGGCCACAATGTACAACAATTCAACATAACGAGGCCTAGGTGCAATGGGATTGGTCAGCCAAAGAAAAGGAGTAACAGGTCCTGAATACGGAGATTTGGAAAACAGGTTCAGGACAGCCTCCGGTTTGAAACACCTGCAATGCCGAGCTTGAATGAGAGGTGATAAAAAGAGGAAATATAATGCCCACAGGACCTATGTGCTCTTCCGATCTCAAATTCGGCCCCAAAATTGGTGGCCTGCTTTTATTTCAAATTTCCTTTTATTTGTTTCTTCTTTTCTTTTTGCTTTTTATTATTTTCTGATTTTATTAAATGTAAGATCAAAAAAGCGTAAAAGACCCAAATTGACTCTGAAATTATACTAATTAATTTCCAAAATTAACTAATTCCTAATTTTAAAAAAAACTTAAGACAAATTTTAAAAATTAAAAGTAGAGATGCAAAAAGAATTATTTTTGTTATTTTCTTTATTTTTGTAATATTAAAATGCACACTATTTTGTATTTTTGAAATTATATCAATTAAAAATGCCCACAAAATGCAAACAAGACACAAAATCATGCGATTAATTCCTAAAATTCAAATAATAAAAGAAAAATCTTAATTTTAAGGAATTTAATAGGAGTAATTTTAAGCGTGGCAAAAATCACGTGCTCACAATTAGCACTCCGACACCGCAGAATGTAACTTCACCTTAATGCAACCAAGCAACTTCATGTTCTATGCACTGCACATCGTTTACTAATAACAGCTTAAGTCATTCCACGATTCTCATACACCCATAAAGCATAACCTAACCTTTATTGAAATTTCCTTTACTCGAGCCATCCTCGGTCTCAACCTCCGTAAGCCATAACCGATTCACCAGTACGCCTCAACCGGAACCAACATAGCACATAACCGTGCAATCAACTAATCAATAGCAGACTCCCCCATTTGGTTTAAAGCCATAGATCAAAACACACAATTACTCCTAATGCATATACTCTATTACTTCCATCATACCGTGGCGAGATTAAACTAAATCCTTCATAAGCTCGTGCAACACAGCCCTTCTAGTACTTCAAATCTTCCGCAAATCTCGCGTTCACCCTCGCAACAGTCAAGCTCACTCTTTTAAGCGACCCAAATTTAAATTGCGACACATATACTTCACTGGTATGGGAGATCTTCCAACAACAAAATAAGGATCACACAAAGTTCAGAACACTCCACAGGAGATAACCCACCTGCTTCGCCTCAAACTAACATCTCTTTATACCCTTCCACCGTCATAAACATTACGCAGTCATTTAATCTTCCTGAGTCTGAACTCATATCATAACGTGAAATCTACTTCACTTCCCAACTAGGCAACATGGAAAGATCCTTCAATCACACCCACAACTCGGGTCATACATCAAATCACGATGGAAATTAAGCACCGAATAGTTCTTACTACCCCAAGCAGACCCTTCTCGTCTCATTCAAATCATTTGAACACATCTCGCAGTCACATCATACTCATCACATATTCATCCAGTCATCACTTCCACTAATAGGGACACTACCGAACTTATAAATTCAAAAGCACATGCTCACACAATCAGCACCTCAGTGCTCAAGCTACAGGCGAAACTCGGCCTCCAGTCCTCCAGACTGGCCCATCATAATTGCACAAAAAACACATCTCGCCCCTCGATAAGGGGATTACAAGCCGTCAAAGCACAACTGATACCGAGCGCTCATGTGCGCATACGAACGCGTGAAAGGAATTCAAAGAGTTACATTTATATATATATATATATATATATATATATATATATATATATATATATATATATATATATATATATATATATATATATATATATATATATAATCGCCATTCATTTCTTTTATAAACTACTAATTTTGTACATTCCCATAGATTTAAAAGTGTAAATTTTCTTCCTTAATAAAAATTTATCATTTCAAAATTAATAAAATGAGTATTAAGTTGATAGATCACCGTTGGCTTGCCTGACGGCGGTGTTAGGTGCCATCACGACCTATTGTAGATTTTGAATCGTGATATTATTCAAAATGTGTAGATGGTACTTGTGTTTTTATTTGCCGTTGTGTGGGATGATATGCTCATTTTTAGTTCTACCCTTGATTTGGTATATAAAACCAAACTTTTTTTGTCATCTAATTTTGAGATGATAAACATGGGAGAGGCTAGTGTTATTTTTGGCATGAAAATTATAAGAGATGACAATAGCTTGATGTTAGACTAAAGAACATTATGTTGAAATAATTATTTAAAAATTTGATAATTTTCTGTGGTACTTGTAAGCACTCCTTATGATGCTAGTAGTCAATTAAAAAAGAACAACTCCCAAGAACAAGGGAGATGTTATAGATCAAAATAAATATGCTCAAGTTATTGGTAGTCTAATGCATTTGATGCCACCATGCTCCTAACGATGTAGACGAATAATAAAGCTATAAACAAAAGCAATGAAGATTTAAGATCCAAATTTCATTTTTCATTTTTGTTTAATGCCCCAAACCTTCGGCTTATTTCATCATCCAAGACAAATCAATTTACAATTGTCCATTTATCTTACCCAACACAGTAATACTTTCAAAATTCAAATCTAATACAAGTTGAATCCCCAGCGAAAACGTGAAATCATTTGCACTCACTCAACTATAAATCATAAATTATTTACACAACAACCATGAAGAAGCAATTAAAGTAAAAACAGATAATAGAAACAAGAAAGCACAAATAGAAATCAATTGGGATCAGTGGAGAGAAATGGACCTTACTATTGAATCTGAAATTTGAATGCTCGGACAACTTTGAAACTCATAAGCAACAAGATTGCGAACAGGACCTTGGACGGAACTCGCGCTCATCAGCTCCAAACGGATCTCACACGACTCAGCCTCAATCGAACACCATTGAAAATCAAAGGCCCGAAATAGACAAGAAGAAGCATCATCTCCTTTATATGTAAAAAAATTTCGAAATCTCTTTAAAATGAAAAGATTTGTCAGTAATTGAGGACACACTGCTGTCCGATGAGCCTACACTTGTAGATGAAGCAGTAACTAGAAATTAAAGTTTGGGAGGAACGCTACTTTTGTAAACGGACCAGAAAATATGAGATGGAGCATTGAGATTCGTTGCTCCTTTTCCGTCAAATCTCCTACTGTTTCGTTCATTTCCCTCCCCAAAAGGCTAATTATTTCAATCTCTGAATGAAATTGCTTTGCCACAACTTCTGAAGGCTTCAATATTTTGGTAAACCTTACTGTTGCCTCTTTTCCAAATCCATCAACAAATAACAAAAGGACCTATGTTTATATCATCACTACATTAGCCTAACCCATTTTTCCCTCTTTGTTTTCTTTTGTCCAGATCTTGTGCGTATGTGTGTCTCTTTGATTTTGAGAACAAGGAAGATATTAGAAGAAAGGGGGACGCTAGGTGGTGTGTGTGTGTGCCATTTTTTGTTTTGTTCTTTCTGTGTGTGTCACTGGTTGGGGTTGGCTGCTGTGAGGTGAAGAAGAAGGTGGGGTGCCGCTGGAATGTGTTCTGGTCGTTGGTGTTTGTCTTCTAAGGGTTATTAGGGTTTTGGTCGTGTGTATATGAAGAAGATGAAGAGAGGGTCACGACTGGGAGGGGTCTATTCTTCGCTAGTGTTCCTAGGTTAGGGATTTTTTTTAGAGAAAATCTCACTTTATACTCATTAATTCCAAACTATTTACCTTTTAATGCCCATGCCCAAACTATTTACTACTCCTACCTAAGCGGCTCAAACTATTTACCCGGTTATTTTCTCAGAAAGAGTGCGACCTCTTCTCTTCTCTTCTCTCTTTCTCCTTGATATCAGCAATTCCCTAATGCATGTTATTTTCCTTTTTCTCTGAAACCCCTTATGTATTCTTTAACCTTATCTGTTTAGTTGCTTCTACATATTCAAACACCGTCTTCTCCTTTTTACTAGATCCAACAGTCACCACCTCAAAAAATTCAGAAAACCAATAACGAAATACCAAAATTTTTGCTAAAAAAGTATTACTATTTCTTGAAATATTCTCGTCAAAATTGAGGAATTATTGTTAGTTTGAGGAATTATTATTTTTGGGTAGTTTGGGTTTTGTAGAGTGAGAATGAAAGTGACCCAGAAAGAAAAAAGAAAGTATTATCTCAGCGATGGCGTTTTCTTTGGAAGTCTGTTGCAGTGTCCCTCAATTTCGGCGTCCTCAATGGTATTGAAAGAACCAAAAAGAAACTTCTCGTTTTTGTAGCTTCCATCAGTAGAGAGCTTCACTATTGGAGGTCTTGTGTGAAAATCAAAGCATTTAGGGTTTTTCCGTATGTATAGAGACGACCCTTGGCTTAAAGTCTCTATTTTGAAGATTTCTTGTTTGATTCAAAGTGGGTGCTGTTAAATATTGTTTATAATACCTTCTGAAAGTTCATATTGAAATTTGCTAGCATTTGGAGCTGATTTGAGGTGATTGAGATCGAATTTCTCAGCTGAAAATCGAAGAAGAACACATCTATCCAATAGTATACTGCTACGGTATACAATATGTTGTAGGAGTATATAGCTATACTACACCAGTATACTATTATAGTTTACAATATACTGCAACGGTATATTGTAATAATCGAAGAAGAACACAGTTACCTAACAGTATACCGCTACAGTATACAATATACTATAGGAGTATATAGTTATACTGCAACAGTATACTATTATAGTATACAATATATTGTTATAGTATACTGTAATACTATGCAATATACTGTAACAGTATGCTGTAATAGTATACATTTTACTATAATAGTATACTTATTACCCGTAAATTCAGTTGTCTTTTCCCTTTTAATTTGTTTTAAGCTTTTACCCAGCGTGAGGGGCAAATTGAAAATGCAAAAAAAATAAATATATTATAGTATGCTATATAATTTAACAGTATACTCTTACAATTAGATCCTTTTAGAATTTTTTAAAATTTTTATTGACAACTGATATTATTTTAGTTTAATAATTGAATTAAATTTTTTTCAACTCTTTGCGTACAATTGTATAACCTGTTGGTATAGCTATACACCATACTGGTATCATATGTTAGTTAATATTTTTTTGTTGTATTAACTACATTTAATTGGTACACAATGTGATTTTTCTTTAGTAGTAATATAAAAAAAAATAGTGAAAACAGTAAATGAAATTAGATTATGAAGAGAAAAAGAATATAAAAGAAGTTAAATAAAATTAGAAAAGGAAAAAAGGAAAAAGAAAAAAAGAAGAAAACGAGAAAAAAAAAAGGAGAAAAGAAGCATAAAATAAAAAAGAATTGGAGAATAAAGAAAAAATTCCCCACAAAAACTACTATGGGTAGGAAATGTAATTAATTTATGGGTAGAAAAATAAATGGGTAGACAAGGGTAAATAGTTTTGTTTTTGTGGGTAACTGTGTCAAAACTCCATTTTTTTAGGGGTTTTGGGTTAATGAAGGGTGAGGGGTAGGCTGCTCAAATTTGGGCTCAAGAACATCCGAAAATGGGCTAATCAAATGGTCTAAATTTCATTGAAATCAATTCAAAACTAGATTCAATAAATTTGAATGTATTATATGAAAAATATTAGGTGGTTCTCTTTAAAATTTATCTAAAAATGCAAAATCAATCCTATAAGCTAAAACTATTTTTGGGTATTTTCAAATATCATAATAAAAATAAAAATAAGGTTATATCAAAATCATCGCAAAATTAAAATAATATTCCTACCAAAAATACTAATATTTTTTAAAACAAAGTGGAACTATTTTTTGTATTTTTTTAATTTTATGAAAGGTATATAAACTAAAAATAACTAGATAAAAAATCAATTACCTAAATAAAAGTAAATATTTTTGTAATTTTCATTTTTGTGACAAAATAAAGTAAAAGAGTCAAAACTAGTTGAAATAGCCATATTAGACATAAACTAAATATTTAAATTCTAAAATGTGTAAAATCTTGGAGAGGGTCAAAAATTACATGTCTACAAGTCCCACACTCCCTCTCCTATAGATTGTTTAATAGCAAATATGTCGTTCACTCTTGCCTCGGCCTTCTTGGCTCCAGCATGGGCCGTTACGAACTTGTCGGTCATTTCTTCAAAGGTTTCTATGGAGCGTGCTGGTATCTGCGAATACCAAGTTAATGCCCCTCCCGTGAGGATTTCCCCGAACATCTTCAATTCAATTTGATGGAAGACACATGTTCTCTGGTGAAGTCTTTGACTTTTATGGCGGTGACTTAATGAGTCACCTGATCTTCAAGGTCGGTTGTGCCGTCATATATCCTGAGGTAGGGCGGCAATTTAAAGGTTTTTGGTATAGCATATGGGGCAACGTCATCATGTACGGCTGTTCGACAAACCAGCCGGCATCCCTCTTCGGAAACTACTTGGGGGCGCCCGGTATTTTATCGCCCGGCAATTACTTTGGCCGGCATCCCTCTTCGGCAACAAGGCGTTGTCACTTGCACCATCAATGACATTGTGAGTAATACCTATCGTTGGAGGAAAAGGTTGGTTGCACTGTTCGTCCACTTGCTGTATTGTGCAAGTCCTTGCATTTTCTGCAGTCGTGTCCCGAGTGGGCTTGTTGAGAATGCTGGTTAGCGTGTCAGTTAGCCACACTTCGAGGAGCTTTTTTACAGCTGGGAGCATCTCTTCCCCCATAGATGTGGAGGCTCCCTTACCATGAGATTTTGTGATGCTGCAGTGAGGGGGCGGTGACCTATCTCGCCTAGGGGAGGCACTGGGCGTCGCGCCTTCGTCTGCCATTTCACAGCTTTCGTTGATGACGTTCTTGAGGTTTGTTGGGAGGTCATTCATTATCCTCGTCTTTGGGAGTTCATTTATTATCCTCGTCCTTTCTACTCGGTTACCTGCCATGTTGGGATTTATGTACACAAAGAAAGGAAATCTTGTTTTTTTGCCGCTATTTTTTTTTATGTTAGTGACCCGTGTTAGTTGAAGATCTAGAAGAAACTAAAAGTTTTATCTAAGAAATCCCCACAGACGACACCAAATTGTTTGATAAAAAATATGACTCTTGGCTCAAATAATTAAACTTATAAGATTATGGGTTAAACTTAGTAAACAATAATATTTCTAGATATGGCTTCCAAGGGTGCATTAATTAGCAATGATGTAGCATTTAATAGCAATGAATAATAATAAATGGCATTTAAGTTCATAGGAGGAATGATTCACCCAATAAAGGATGAACTAGATGGTTGTTCCTCCCGACAATGATTCATGACAGACAAATCCTTGAATTTTCGAATTACTCTGGGATCTGATGGAAAAGTATGGAATAATATGGACAAGAATCTCAGTTAAAAGTAGATCTTTGTATTGAGTGACGACCGAATCTTTTTTTCAAAGTCCTTTTCTTACAAAAATGTCACATGCCCTTATGTAACTGTTTCTTTTTATATCTATACGGTATATCTTCCCAAAATAGACCCTAATATTACAAATAAATAGAATATTCAATATTCTCTTTAAGATCCTATCCTGAAAACTTGTCGTTGCAACTCCCTCGTTGGTACTCGACCTCGACCCCCGTCGATGCCTTGACTATGGCCCACATCGACTCCTCGACCAAAGGTGGCGTGGTAGTTTATGACTTTTGTACAGAATTTGGGGTCAATCGAAGTTGGTTTGATATGTTTCGGCATCGATAGTAGCAGATGGAAATTCAATAGTTTCGATAGGCTTAAGTTTGGGTGCGATTTGGGTTTTTGATGTTGTTCGATGTGATTTGAGGCCTTGACTAAGTTCGTATCATGTTTTAGGACTTGTTGATATGTTTGGTTGAGGTCCCGGGGGCCTTTGGTGGATTTCGAGTGGTTAAGGGATCAAAAATGAGACTTGAAGCATTTGTGAGATTGTGGACCTTCTGGTGTGATTTCACCTGCGAGGGGATTGGTCGCAGGTGCGACGCCGCATGTGCAGAGGGGAGCGGATCTGCGAGTCTGCAGAAGCGAAATGTTGATCGGAGATGCGAAATTTCAAAATATGCTCGGGCGCGCTGGTGCGGCCGCAGGTGCGAGCCTTAGGCCGCAGAAGCGGCAGGTCTGTTGATACCCAATTTTTCCCTCGTATTTTTAAATTGTATATATATACTTTCAAAATAGTATATTTGCATCATCATTTAGATTATAAACCTATACAAGCATTTTACAGAATTTTCCATGATTTTTGGAAGCCCAAAATTAATTTCTTTCTGCATTTTTATTGTATAAATATTCAATAATTATCCTTCTAATTATTTTTATGATGTTTTAATCATGAAAACTTAATATTTACACCAACATGCACGTTTTTAAATATTTTACTTCATCTTTTCATAATTACATTTGTATTTTAGGCATATTGCGCATTTTTGCAATAATAGCCTATATTCATGTATAATTACATTATTTATGCCAAAATAACTTTTTATATTTTTATAACGTCAAGTTATCATATTCAATCATTTTAGTGCACAAATAATATTTTTTTATTTATTAATTACTTTTATAAATTATTTATTGATAAAATATTGGGTATTTAAAAACTAGCCCCAATTTCTAAACATTTTCGGATCAATACACCAGCCCAATAACGCCAGCCCAAACCAATAACCC